CTCTTCTACTGGAGGGAGGGGGGGGGGGGGGGGGAGGAGAGCAGTGAGCACGCTTTTGCCGATATAAAAGTGCGCCGATCAGTGTTGCTTTCTTTCACCTTACTGTCAAGCACAAGGGGCGATGTGTATCTACTTCCCAGCTGACATCAAACGCCTTGAGCCCTGCAAGAAAGGTACTCTCTACTTAGTTACAGAGAGTTACCTGTGTTGAGGATGGGGTACAAGGGGGGCTACGGGCTTTCAGGCGCTGCTGGCCACTCGTTGGCGGCGTCAGGCATCAGGATAAAGAAAATAAGGGAGAGAGACGGACAGAGAGCCATTGCTCTTATTTCGTCATCGATGGCTGTCTCTCTGGCCTTGCTGTCCAATCGTCGGGCGCTTACTCGACTGCATTCGAAACAAGGGGGGGCGTTGTTCAATGATGTATAACTACTACGCATGATTAAAAAGGGGGTTTGATGAAGAACAACAACTGCAATACGGGCGGCGACCTCCCAGCGACATCATCACGATCTCTATACTTACGGAACCGTTCCTGTCTCAGCAAAGGCAGATTCAGTTATGCTTTGGCTCGTCTTTGCCTCGGGAACCCGGTCCGCCAGAACCGTCAAGTGTCAAGGACGTTGGCTCGCACACTGATTCGTGCTGCGCCAACTTAACTGGCCCCCCCCCCTATAGTTATTCGTTATTAGCACTGGCTGGCTAGCTATATCAGATGGCCGGTGGGTGGCCAACTGATCGATGGAGACGGCCAAAACCCAAGAAACGAGAGCAACGTCGCTTTTTCGCCATCCATCCAGCTGACTGTAGCAGTGACGGGCCTTGGATAGTTAAAAAGAGAAAAAACTATATATTGAAAGCAAAAGCAGCCAAAAAGAGCCATGGAAAAGATCGGACTAGACCCGAGAAACTTCTATCCCGTTGCTTTTTTCTCTCTTTAGTTACTTCGATGGGAGGAGAAAGGAGAGCGGAATCATTTACGATATACGACCGGTATTCCTCACGCTTGCTCTCACTCCTTTAGCTTGCTCCTTTGTCGCCGCGGACGAGAGGCTGTTACACGAACCGAAAGGGAGAATCCTCTGACTAGCTAGTCTACTACTGAGGATCCAGGGACCATAAATCCGTCCCATCGTACGGAGTACGGAGCACTTACTTAGATCCTCCTCCATCATGGCCCTCGCTATGCTTGCCCTTACTTACATACGCCGGTAGTACGGGCCTGAGGGCCTTCCCCCGGACGCCCCCCTTTGCCTTTGGGTGACGGAGTAACGACTCAGCTTTGACCGGAGTTTATATGGCTGGTTGTTATCTGTCCTGTCTGACGGAGTCCTCCTCCGTGTGCGGGATAGCAGCAGCTGGAGAAGAGCTGGCTCGTTAGTTGCCGCCAGCGGGATTACTCCATGCTTGTGGCTGAAGAAGACGATCGCACTCGCCCTGACGTAACTCAGCAGCCAGATCCACGTTTCCCGTTCCCTGTTCGCCTCAGGGAATGGAACGGGCCTCGTCCTGTTCTCCTCTTTTTCTTTTGTCCCTTGGTCTTCCGCAAGATCACGATCACAGTCCTCATGCCGCTGCTCAAGTGCTCACCTAAGCACCTGCTCTTGACTGCTTTGAGTATGGAACAGTGTTACGGATAGCCCGTCCGGCAGCCAGCAGCCAGGACAGCAGCAAGTTAAACGAGCAGGGGGTTGCGGCCAAAGGAAAGTTATATGCAAAGCATGAAGAACGCAAAGAACAAACCTTCTTCTGCTTCTGTTTCTTCTTCTTCTTCTTTGCTCGCCTCTTGCCTTCCTTTGCTTCCACGGTGTTCCCGGACGACCCGTTCCCTCCTCGCCGTAGGGGGGGCGGCGTGTAACTCCTCCATCTAATTGCCTAGATAGTTAATATATAGTAAGTATCACACCCCTTCCCCCCCTTCCCACCACCCATAAACAAGGCCTATGCCAGCTCTGCAGCAAGGCACTGCTGCCCCTTGCATTCCAGACGTCTTCTCTCCCCCTCCAGCAGCGAGCGAAGGGTCAGAATGCATGCACGCTCGCGCAAGGGGGTGGTTGATACCCCTCCCTCACAGCAGAGCCGGCGAAACCTAAAGGCAAAAAAGCAACGAAGGTCGAAAAGAAAAGAAACGAAGCAGGTAACCAAAAAAAAAAGCGAGCAGTTTTAAGGGCGGGACAACTTGACTGCTAGTAGTTAGTTATCGATAACTAGCGAAGTTGCCCCTCAGACGGGTAACTGCTCCCGTAGATTGCTGGTGGTCGATGGCTGATCTGGGGGTGGGTGTTGGATATCATATTTCCACCATCGCCAACCCCGTCGTCCAAGGGATGAGCAACAGTCACCTGCATCCACCCAGCAGACCGTGTTACATACAGTGAAGCAACAGCCTAGAGCGGATGTGATAGGTAGTCGACCTCTTAACGAACATTATTCGGAAAAAGCCATCAGAGTTATCATCGTCCCTTTGGCCCTCTGAATGGCGGTGATGGCATGGCAACGCAGCTTGCTCAACTCGACCTCCACCCGGCCCAGCCAGCCAGCCAGCCAGCCATAGAAGGCCCCGTCCGAGGGAGCCAAGGCGTAGCTTGAGCAGTTCAATCTCTATTTGTTTTATCTCCATCATCGTCTTCCTCCCGATACGTTGTTTCGTGCCGCTGCGGTCCCAGTGGAGAAGTGAGGTCCAGTCTGAGTGCTGGGTGTGGTTGTGTCCACGACAGCGAAATGGATGGCCTCCCCGTCCTGCGGTTGGCTGGATGTTCTCGCCTGGAGCTGCAGACATGCGCATCGTTCGCTGGGGGCATGGATTCTATGCTGCTCGTCTCATTATTACGCTCGTTCGTGCATGATGCAGGGACTGATTGGCTGCAACCTTCGATCTAAGGCAGTCCGGGACAGGGTTGGCTTGCTCCACGCTCATCGCTGTGCAACGCGGAGGGAGGTGGGATGGCCCTGACCACTCACCCTGGCCACTCAGCACAGAGTGCTGTGCGCTTGAGTCCATACGTTCATGACAGCGAGTTGGAGCATGGGGAAAGTCGAGCTCCTTGCGCCCCTCCCTTGCTTGCATACGCATGAAAGTTGTTACTCCAGCAACTCCTTGGACAACATGAGCTAGGTTTGGATGAACAGATGCTCTCTCTCTCTCACCCCCACGGCAAAGGATTGAAAGAATGCTGGAGCTATAGAGCTGTCGGGCTTTATCTCGTCAAATCACAGTTTCCTAGCTTCCCAACATATATATACATCAAGGGTTATTTGGCTATAAGAGGAGGGGCACTGGGTCAACGAGAAATGGCTTTTATCCGGGGAACTAACTAACTAACTAACTAGTTAACCGGTTATCCATCACCGTGCAGCACCTGGCCGGAATTGTTATTCCGATTCGAGTCCCATGGCATACATCAGTCCACCCGGGATTACCCAGACACCCGTCTGTGGAGCACCTGTAGAGACAATTGTTGCTGCTACTACTTGGCTCGACAGATGGTGATGGATTCTACCCGCTCTCTATAAAGCATGAAGTAGTTATCAATGTTGGCGTTTCAGAGCAGTGGGCTCAGGTCAAGGGATTGAGATGTCAACTCGTAGAATTGTGGAGTTTTGCTAACCAACGCAGTAAAAGCTGAGAGATTCAGGAGAAAATCCTATCGCCATAAAGGAGCGAGACGAGAAGAATGAATTATTTATGCGCTCCATGACAAAGGGACACAAAGGGAGACGTTGACAATGACTTGCTCAAGGCAAACAGCTTGCCGTTGGCCGGCTAACAAGGTAACCGCCCCCTTTTCCTACCAATTCTTCTGAGAAGAACTGGATGGACAAACAAACATCGCCAAAGATACCAATAGCGATCGAAATAATACCCCCCGAAGTCCCTGAAAGATGGGAAAATACCTAATCTCTGGAGATGGCATGGAAGGATTTAAGCGCCGAAGCTCGGCCGGTCCTGCTCGGCCGGGCCTTAACTTGCTAGCCTCGTGCGAGGCATCTCGGAGCATCGTGAACATGACGCTCCGAAAGATATAGATGCCCCGACAGGCGTCTGGTTTCTCGCAAATATGAATATAAGCCATTCATATATATATATATATATATATATACAATGCTTTGACTTTTCATAAATGGGGGGGGGGAACACCGATCCTACTAAAAATGTAAAATTG